CCAGCTCAGCAAGCATCCTTACGAGAGGAAATCCGACGTGTGCAGCAGCAATTGGCCATTTTTCATCTTTGGGTCGCGGGCGCGCTTTTTCTTGCAGGAGAAGTTCTCTAAACCATTCAGTATGCCTTGCTTCTTCTGCCAAATGGTGGACAGTGCTGAAGAGCCAATGCCAGAACGTTGAATTCATTGGTGATTTTGGACTTCATCCGGCCACTTTTCTGAACCTCGCAGATGATATCTAAGCGACTTTTGGTAAACACTTACGCTCTCCCATACAATGCACGTGTACGCCGCGGGCGCACTGGCACGCAGGTCAGAAGATCCCGAAGGGATGATCTCCTCCCAGCTCCGTCAGTTCCATCGCTCCTTTGACCCAATTACGACAAGAGTCGGGCTGCGTCAGCTGCGGGCGCTGTGAGTAGCGCCAAAATATGGACGCTGCTCTAGCTGCTCCATGGCCGCATCCGCGCATCAACATCAAAAGCAGCACTATGCCCTCCGTCACCCGTTTGCTCCGTTTCTTGTTCACCATTTCCCGAATTTGCTGTTTGCCTCAGTGAGGAAGGGAGAGGGAATGCAAGGGTCTCTGTGTGCCTCTGTGTAGGCTTGCGTGCTCTTGGCACCTTGGCCTTCATCATAAGCGTGGTCAGCTGCCGATACAGATAGAATAATCACGTTCAAAATGCAAGCATTTCGGTCGGGATCAAGTCACACTTCGGTAAGAGCGATAATTCAAATAAAGCGATTTCATTATAACAAGGGATTACTACACAAAAACACCATTCGAATTAAGCGGCTTATGAATCCATTAGAAACATAGCGGGACAACCAAAATATTGAAAATTGTTTGAATTAACCAGAAGTACGAGATATCCGAAATAGAATTATTGCGAGCTATACTGCGCGCACCTAATGCAGACTTTCTAAGGAAGAGCTTTTCTTTTTCAAGCAAGAGTTACCCCTGCGGACTACACACTGGGTGCGGTAATCCGGAAAAAATGGTAAGTCAAATCTGCTCAAGCAAGAGTGGGGACACAGCTGAAAGTGTGGGGAGGCACTTTGGCCAGCGAGAAAATGAAACGAAAGCGGGCATCCCAACCTGCTCGCACGGAGACCTTGTGGGACGAGATGCCCCGCAGGATCCGGTAGCCGCTGGGGGAGGCCGCAAAGGAGATGAGGGTGCCGTCCTGGGTCCTCTGCATGGCGTTGTCATCCACGCCCTCGATCCAGCAGCGCTTTGAGAGCTCCTCCCAGCTCAGAGGCACCTGCACCACCTCGCTGCGCCCCCAGGGGAGTGTGTTCACAAACACCAGGTCGCCTACAGTTTTGTCGCTGCACGTGCCTGCGTTGCAACCATTTGCGTGACTTCTGTGATCGTGGGCAACCACACAAATGTAATGCACAACCTGCATATTATAGTTCGTATCTTTACTCAAATGATGATCCAAGAGAAAGCAGAAAGAGCACTTCAAGTTTCAAAGTCAAAAACGAGAGAAGAGTGAGAAAAAGGAATGGCAAATTGCTACGCAACTGTGTTGCATACGTAAAATGTTTTAGCATCACAAACGTTTATGTCGTCATTTAGCAGCAAGTCTAGCCTTTTCAGCTAGATGCCTACGTTTACGGCGCTCTTCAACGGATAATTTAATGTGTGGCAAGTGTACACTTGAAATGATAAACCTGGTGATCTTCCATAACCTTCTAACCCACTCATCCTATCCCACTTTGCCTCCTCGCCTACCTTTCTCCTCACTTCACCCCTAGTCATATGACCTCCACATTACCAGTCAGTGTCAAGCACCCTGACTCCTCCCCTCCCATCTGCAGTGATGTGATTGGCCTAAGCCATTTTGGAGCACCTTTCGGAGCAGCCAAAACGGTGTTTTGGAGCAGCAAATGTGGCCTTTGGAGCAACCAAAACAGTGTTTTGGAGCAGCAAAAGTGGCTTTTGGAGCAGCCAAGGCAGTGTTTTGGAACAGCAAAAGTGGCTTTTGAAGTATGTATTCTTAGGAAAATCAAAATATTTGTTTTAAGTGCTGTACAAACAAAGAACACTTCATGTTCTGTTGTGCTCTGATGTGACTTGTTGTGATGGAACTCGCTGCTTGTGGTTTTACTGCTGAGACATCCCACAAGTGTACAGCGCATTGCTGTACGTATTGCCGAGCAATTCTGAAAAACACCTTGCCACTGTTTTACTGGTTCCCGACATGCCAGATTTTCGTCAAAAGTAAGCAAACGTAAAACAATGAATTGCAACCGTCCCGGCTCGTGTCTCTGACGTTCAATCATGTTCGCATGCACGTGAGAGAAACTTCGGCAGGCTTCCAGTTGTGCGTGCTTTGTCGGGCGAGTGGAGACAATGGCTGTTCGATCGAAACCATTGCACTCCGCTCAGTCACCAACCGATTCCCAAAATTGTATGTAAAATGTCACTGTCGAGCAAACGACAAAAAACAGTCCAGCCACGCGGGCATGCCACGCCGGCGAACAAGGCACAAGCTAAACACACGCAGGCACGCATGCACGCACGCGCGCGTGCACACACAGACACACACACACAAACAAAAGAAGAGAACCTGAGTGCATCGACGCAAAACGTCTCCTACATCAACTCCACCAAAAGTAAAGAGCCTATTGCAAAGATTGCACAGCATATTGGCTGAAGATAAATCTCCTAAAATGTGCCCTTCACAACACAGTAGCTACCACTGTCAACCGCAGCACATTTTGTGTAGTCGTCTGCAATTTTCTTTGCAGACGACCACACAAAACACATTTTTCATAATCTGACGTTGAGGTTGTACCACTGACATTGTCAATCCTCTTGAAGCAGTCAACTTTCACAATGTGCCATCCGTGCGTCTTGCCACTCATCGGCGACGGACCACAGTGTCGACCAGCCAACGGAAAAGTCTGGCTCTGTCTCTATAGTTTCACAGCCTACATGACGAACGGCGAGCTGTGGTGGTGATTATGGGGCTTTCTCAGTTCTGAAGTGTGTTGGTCGGGAAAAACATTACGTCTCTCCTAGTTCAATACCTTCCAAGCGCCTGCCTAGTGTAGCAAGGATGACTGTGAAGAAGCAAGCAACTCGCTCATGACAGAGAATACCAGAAAAATCCTTCTGCCATGCCTTTGCCAGCAGAATAATAATCTGCGAATATCTTTCGACTACACCTGGGGGCGCGTGTTTATCTGCAGCTGAAAGTGCACATTGCAACGTTGATCCCAAAAAAAAGCGTAAAAGCAAAAATGTGCCCTGGCCCTTCGGTGCTGTTATGTCTGGAAATGAATGCATTACAGTCGAACCTCGATATAACAAACTTCAATGTAACGAAATCCTCGATTTAACTAAGTATTTTATTTTTCATAATTTCTTGCCCATAGACCACATGTATTTTAGTCTCTATATAACGAAGTCTATTTTGCTGCTATTTCAATATAACGAAGCGCCATTTCCATAAAAGTCAATAAATAAATAGACTCTAAAGAACAACTTCGCAAAAAAATTGTGGTTAAAAAAAAATTATTCGCAAACGCGAGCGCTTGATAGGTTACTTCACGGAGACAGGCCTTCCAACGTTCCTAGGCTGCCCAAGGATGCGGCGCCGGTAGCGCCGGCGAGACATGCGGCAAAGCGCATTCCGCGGGGCTGGCCAGAAAATGCCGAGCAAAAAGTTAACACGGCATAACAGCATCACCACTGACATTTACTGATCATCATAGTCCAATGTACCGTGGGTAGCGCGGGAGCCAACTTCAGCGGTGGAGCGACGTGAAGGCGCGACCGCACGGGCAGTGCCATCTAGGAGAAGACCGAGAAGACCAATTATCGTCTTGCGAGCGTGATGTGAAGCAAAGGCGCAAGGGGGCGAGTAAACTGTGCGGGCAAGAGTGCTGTGTAGGTTGGAAACATTGGCACCGCCTAAACAGCTTTATTTTTCAACCGGGTGGTTCACTCACGTGCTTGCTGGCATGGGGAAACGTAGAGTTCTTTCTTTGGATGAGAAAGCAAACGTTTTGGACGCCATCTCCAAAGGCGAACGGAAGAAGGATGTCGCGGCTCGGCTTTGGTATACCGCAGAGTTCTCTTTCAACAATTCTAAAAGGAAAGGATTCTATTCTCGGCTCTCTGAAGAGTGGCACAAGCGGCCAACGAAAGCGACTGAAAGCTGCAACTTACGAGCATGTGGATAAGGCAGTCTTGACATGGTTCATGGACACTCGTGCGCAAGATATCCCACTGAGCGGGGCTGTCCTGCAGCAAAAGGCCAAGGACTTGGGATGTCTTCTGGATGAAGACAAATTCAAGGCGAGCAGTGGATGGCTGCACAGGTTCAAGGCCCGGCACGCAATTGTCGGAAAAATGACAAGTGGGGAATCGACGTCGGCCGATGCACCCAAAGCTGCTGCTGCTTGGGTCGAAAAGGAACTGCCGGGAATCATGATGCGCTACAAGCCATCTGACATCTACAATGCAGATGAGACTGGGTTTTTTTATAAGATGCTCCCAAATAGGACACTGGCCCTTAAAGGAGATCGATGCCACAGAGGGAAACAAAGCAAGGTGCGGGTCACGATTCTTCTTTGCCGCGAGTGACAAGCGGGTGCCGTTCATAATTGGAAAAAGCAAAAGGCCGAGATGCTTCAAAGGTGCTCGGGTCCTCGAGACCAAATACACGTCCAACACAAAGGCGTGGATGACCCGTGACATCTTCCGCGGATGGCTTGGTGACTTCGACAAGGCGATGAAGAATGACAGCCACAGAGTGTGTCTACTGCTGGACAACTGTTCCGCGCACCACATACCAGACCTGGGGCTAACAAACGTGGAGCTGCAGTTCTTCCCACCGAATTGTATGTCCCTGATTCAGCCGCTCGACCAGGGCATTATCAACAGTTTGAAGTGTGCGTATCGTAGGCGGCTGATCGATAACCTCCTTCTCAACCTTCGTTTGAAACGTTCAACGAACGTGGACATCTTCCAAGCACTGGAGATGCTCTCCGCGTCTTGGAAAGCCACGACGGACGGAATCATCCAGAACTGTTTCCGGAAAGCTAGGTTTGAAACACCTCCAGCATCAACAGCCAGTGCTCTCGGGGAAGGATGCGGAAGTGCTCCCACAGTATCGTCCTTTCCAAGTGAAGATGAGACGGAGTGAAACCAGCAGGCACTTCTGGGAGCATGGCAGTTCCTCCGTGGCGACGGTGTTGTCCCCGACGATGTCTCTCTGGACGACTACCTCTACGGGGACTCGCGCGTCGTTGCAACGGAAGAGGTCTCTGACGCTTCCATCGTGCAGGATGTGGCCGGGAACTCGACGGAGGACGACGACGATTCTGAGGCCGATGCTGAAGAAACTGCCGAGATCCCGAGCACTCGGGAAGTGCTCGACGCAATGGATGTACTGAGGAGGTACACGGCGTCGCATGGGCAGCAAGATGCCGTGCAAGCGCTCTGGGCGCTCGAACGCTGTATGACGCCGCGGCTACTGTCGAACAAGGCGCGAGCAAAACTCACGGACTACTTTGCCCCTAAATAAATGTCATTTTCGGTGAGTTTTCATACCCGTACAATGTTTCGGAATTTTTTTTTGTTTGCATGCTAAAGCCAAATTTTGATTTAGCGAAATTTCAATATAACGAAGTAAATTGCGAATTTTACCGACTTCGTTACATCGAGGTTTAACTTATCATATTCTCGCCGGAACGGTGTTACAATCCCCAGCTCTCGGCGAAGTGGCGCAGTACGGGGATTAGCCAGCATTCGTGATCTGGCGCACGTAACTTCGAAACGCGATAACGTCTGCTTATTTGTGTTGAGAAAACGTTCGTGCCAATGCATCGAAGTAATGTGTTGTTAGATGTTTAGGCAGTGGAAAGTTAAACTATCCTAAGAGGCACCTAGTTTCTCCGACGTGTGTGAGAAATTTAGCACGCAGGTATGATGCTCATTTTGATCGGAAGGGGCGGTGGCGTGGTATGAGTCGATGATCCCTGGGTTTTGCAGCGCAAGTTTTCACTCCGCGTTATTCTCCTGACGTGTTCATGTTTGAAGCCGAATGTGCTAATGAACATTCGCTCGCCTCGTTCAGCATTTGAAAGAATAATGGCTGGGGTAGAGGGAACAGGCGCGAACTCTTACGGCCTTGGCACGGGGAGTAGTTGCTCCCTGCGACGGGAGCTCGAAGGGGTCGCTGGAGACCTGTCGCACCTACAGCGCTTTACTTCCTTCTGTAAGGCAGCTCTTCCTCGCCGTGTTGTCCTCTTTGCTCCGGGGTTGAGTTGGAGTAGTTTTAAGAGTAATTAGACTTACAGTTTGTGAGGCCGTCTGCCTGCAGGGACTTATGCGGAACATCTCTTTCTTTTCGCCTCCTCATAAACGAGTTTTTATTGACAAGCATTTAATTATCGTAAAACGAAACTTCTTTGAATCGACTCACTACAGTTATTTAAAGCAAGTATAATTGCACACATTTTCAATCGCAAAATTTTGACTCGGAAGCGCATAGGGAGGAAGCTTTACAAAAGTATCCACCTGCCTCAAGAAGTGAAACCGAAACTAAAAACGTGGGTTCCATTTGAAAACAAAAAAAGAACTTTGTCATCCCGAGTTAACTCGGGGGCAGCACGGAACAAAAAAAGCCACGGTACGAGTATGCTTGGTTCAGGCTTTTGTAGGGGTGGTCGATGACTCGGTGTTTTCTAAAATTTTTTTTTTTTTCTAAAAGTGTGGTGGTCGAACATTCGGGGATGGGCATTGAGTTGAGATGTTAAGGTAAAATTTTCATCCACATGCCGGGATTCATGTGCCTTGTCTCCTAGCGAGGGGGACAAGGCCTTCAAAATTTTAGGTTCGCAAAATGGGTGCGTCAGTATTGACGTCTCCTTTTACATGAGGCCTCTCAATTTAAAACGCACTATAAATGACGTGCCTGAGATTCGTTTGGGTCTACTTATTCTCACCAAGTATTTGGTTCTGTCCCAAAAAGGTCTAATCTGATGTTGAGCACACCCCAGGTGTCCACCGGGGATCCATCAGGACGAGACCCAACCGGGACACTAGGGGGAGCGGCTTACGCAAGGGAGGCTACATATACGACAGCTTCTTGCGAACAAGAAACGAAAATAGATAGATGGCGGGTGTTTCATTTACTATGCCTTTTGGCATGCAAATTCTGTTTGTTAGGTTTCAAGATTCATGCAGAGTTCAATTTCAACTATCCTAAAATACCGAGCATGCGCCCAGATCGCAGAAGCGCCTATCCCTGCTTTCGGAAAAATCCGCAAATAAGCAAAGGGCATACCAGACACCCATCCACCTGTTTTCAGCCATGCTCAAAATATTAAAAAAACACATCAAGCGGACCGGTGCTGTGGCGTCCTTGCCACAATAGTGACGGTCGCGTAGCTGACAGATTCGTGCCTGCCACAAGCCATGGCATGGCCTTCGGGAACCGGGGAATCGAGATTAGAGATGTAGCACAGAAATCGGATGCAAGCGGCGAAGGCGAGCAGAGTTAACGGAAAACAAGGATGAAGGGGGTTCCGTCGCATGAGGCATCTATGTCCCGTGCATGTAATATTGAGTGTGCTGTAGGCGGCTACTCGAATAAATTGTTACTTCTACGTAACTAATCGCAAATCGTTCTTGCAGTTTCCACGGCCCACAAGCCAGCAGGCGCCAGTTCGTTCTCGCTCAAAGCTGAGGATTCCACATATTCTAGTTTGCTCTGAAGCAGCAATACTGAAGCCAGACAAGCTGTAGGGCATATTTAATTGACGGAGCACAGAACGACTGGGGATGCTTTCATTGAAGCTTGTTTTGCTGCAATACACGTGGACAGAACATTTGTCGACGAGTGTCCAGTTTTATCACAAGAGGCATATTAATGGCGCGCGCATGTTATTTTGAATTAATGCGGCTTAGTATGCTGTAGGTGGCTACCAGTGATGTGATTGCAGCGCCAAACTGCACCAAGGGGCTAACCCTGCTACATACTGCTACATTTCTCCAAAATATGGGCAACCTGCACCAAGCCTGCGCCAAAGGACCAATTAAGGTCGCCTTTCAAACCCGAAACTAAACTGAGTACTGTAATTGATCAGGCGTGTGTTATGTGGCGCAAGCGGCCACCTGACACAAAGTACCGTGCATCAATTGTCCACCTAGTCTTGCATGGTTCCCCCGGCGTTTCGCGCTATCGTCTCGTGAGTCTCGTCTCTCGTCTCTTTTTTTTATGTTTTAAGCGAGTTTTAAGCGATAGACGCAGATGTGTGCAGACGCTTCGACGCTTACGTGCCGGGTACCAGCTATGCCGTCATGCTGTGAAACGAAACCACGTTTTTGCGCGTCAGGAGTTACTTCGTGAACTGAAGCAACGGCCGTGGAAAAACTACATTTGGTCACTGCCTTTCAGTCACCGTGGTCGCGCGACGTCGAATGTTGCCGTCTCCACATGACTGCAGATATGGTACTTTCTAAAAGGAAACTAAGTACCGCCGCATGTTCATCAACATTCCTGTTCTTGTTTAAATCATAGGTTACTACAAAAATTCATCTTTAATTCGAAGGCTGCTTCGTCAAAGTATTAATTATCTAGATTCCTCCGGCGGGCCTTCTTTCGAGAGGGACCTCGGTACGTGAAAAATCTGCCGTGAAATAAAGTTGGCGAAGAGAAGTGAGCTAAAGCAAAGAAGGCAATGTCTGCACGCTGAACCCGCACAGCGTGCTAGTTTGTCTCGCGTTCAGTCGTTGCACAAAGCTTTCTAAGAACTTTTTGAGGCTGGTTCGCAATGTCTTACATTGATGCGCTCAGGTTCTTTATTTTTTGTGTTTAGATTGTGCCTTGTTTGCCGACCTGGCAAGCACGCGCTACTGGACTCTTTTTGACGCATGCTCGAAACTGACATTTTGTATACAATTTTGGGGATAAGTTAGCGACGGAACTGAGGGGCATGGTTTCGGTTTCGATCGGACACCCGTTGTCTGCGCTCGCGCGACGAAGTATGCCTGACTGCAAGTCTGCCGATGTCGGCCTCACGTGCGTGCAAACATGATTGCGTGACTGAGGCACCAGCTGTGACGCTTGCAATTCATTGTTTTACGTTTGCTTACTTTTGACGAAAATCTGGCACATCGGGAGCCAGTAAAACAGTGGCAAGCGGTTTTTCAAAATTTCTTGGCAATGCCTACAGCACCGTACACTTATGGGATGTCTGAGCAGTCAAAATTAAAGCAGCGAGTTCCGTCACAACACGTCACATCAGAACACAACACAACACAAAGTGCCCTTCGTTTGTGCAGCACTTAAAACGAATATCTTTATTTTCCTAAAAAATATCTGCTCCAAAATCCACTTTTGCTGCTCCAAAAGCCGCCTTTGCTGCTCCAAAACATTGTCTTGGATGTTCGAAAGACCACATTTGCTGCTCCAGAACACTGTTTTGGTTGCTCCGAAATGTGCACCAAAATGGCTTAGGCCAATCTAATCACTGGGCTACTCAAAAATTTGCTACTTTGACGCAACTAACCGCAAATCTTTCTTGCCGTTTCCATGGCCCACAAGGCAGGAGGTCTCAGTTCATTCTCGTTCAAAAGTGAGGATTATAGTTATTCTAGATTGCTCTGAAGCAGCAATACTGAAGCTAGACAAGTGGTACGGCATATTTAAATGACGGAGCTCAGAACGACTGGGGACGCTTTCACTGAAGCTTGTTTTGCTGTTTACACCGTTTGTCTGGCTTCAGTATTGCTGTGGGCAACGAAACGTGTGCCCAGTTTTGTCACAAGAGGCGTAGTATGTCACGCACATGTAATTATGAATTTATCCGGCTTAGTGTGCTGTAGGCGGCTGGTCAAAGAAATTGGTACTTGAACGCAACTAATTGCAAATCTATCTGGCGGTTTCCACGGCCTAAGAGCCAGCAGGTGCCAGTTTGTTTTTTCTCAAAGGTGAAAATTCCAAATTCCCGAAGCAGCAATACTGAAGCCAGACAAGCTGTAGGGTATTTTTGATTGACGGACCTCAGAACGATTGAGGCCTCCTGCATTAACGCTTATTTTTCTGTAATACACGGCGGCGACATTTACGTATGTCCAGTTAAGTCGCCAGAGGTTATCTATGGCCCGCGCATGCAATTTTGAATCTTTCCGACTTAGTGCACTTTACGTGGCTACTCAAAGTAACTGCTACTTGGACGCAACTAATCGCAAATCTCTCTTCCAGTTTCCACGGCCTACAAGCAAGCAAGCACCAGTTAGTTTTTCTTCAAAGGTGATCATTCCAGATAGTCTAGTTTGGTGCGAAGCAGGAATACTGAAGCCAGACGAGCGGATACGTATATTTAAGTGACCGAGCTCAGAATAACCCGCGGCAGTGGCATTGAAGCTTAGTTTTTCGCAATCAACGCAGACATAATTTTGAATCTATCCGGCTTAGTGAAGGATTGCTACTTGTCGCGAACTAATCAAACATTTTTATCCTGCAGTTTCTATATGGCTGGAGCTAACAGGTGTAGTTTTCATTAAAAGGTAAGGATTTCACATTGTTTTCAAACATCAAGTTTCCAAATGAGGATCCTAA